CTACTACTACTACTACTACTACTAGTACTACTAGTACTACTACTACTACTACTACTACTACTACTACTACTACTACTACTACTACTACTATTACTACTACCACTACGGTCCATCAAAGATTTCGGCACTCGGCCCCCCGCGGCATTCCGACGGCCCAAGACGGCCCAAGAGGGCCCTGAGATCGCCCCAAGATCGCCCAAGAGTTTGGACGTCCGAGATGGGGACGGAAAAAATGGACACAATGCCCAACAACAAATGTTGTCCCAAACCAACGGCGGCCGCTGCGGGGCCCGCGGCCTCCTGTCTCGAATGGACACAGGCCGCGGCGGCGTGGACAGCGAGTCCTGTTCCAAATGAACAAGATCCGCCGTTGGGCATCGCGCCCATTCTTTCCGCGCCAATTTCGCTCGCGCAGAAAGAGGGCTCCGAAGGGGGCCCCAAGACGGTCCAAGAGGCCTCCAAGACGGCCCCGAGAGGGGCCCGAAGCCGGCCCGAGAGACTGCCAAGACGCTCAGGATGGCCTCCCCGACGGCGCCGAAGCGCCCAAAAAGAACCCCAAGTCGGTTCAAGGAAGCCCCCAAAACGGCCCCCAGCAGCGCCAGACGGGGCAGGAACGCCATCAGACGGCCAAAGAGGCCCCCGAGGAGCCCCGAGGGGCCCCGCGAGGCCCCAAGAGACCCAAGACAGCCCCAACATGGCCTCCAAGACGACCCCAATATGCCCCAATCGAGCCCAAGAGCGCCTCAAGAGGCTCTGAAGAGACATCCCCCTCTTCTCTTTTCCCCCCCCCCCCCCCCCCCCCCGCGCGCCCCCCGAAAGCTTTCCAAACCGGCTCGGGGAACGCGTGGCCCGATGGCTCGGCCAAGCTCAAGCTCAGCCGTCGGCCACGTCGGCGCTTTCAAAAAGGCTGGGGGCGGCGGCGATTCAACGCAGGCGTCTTCGGCGAACGCCGCCGGCCGCGCCGCCGCCCCGAGGCGGCCGCGCCCGGCCGCGCGCCCGCTCAGCCCTCCGCCGCTTTCTTCTCCTGGTCCTTTTTGCACTTGCGGCACGCGGCCTTCTCCCCCCTCGCGGTCCGGGCCGCGCCCTGGCGGTTCCCCTCGAGCATCTTCTCGTTGAGCTCGGGGATCGCCTTCTTGGGCTTCTGCTTCGCCGGCGCCAGGGCCGACCGGCGAACGCCCGCCTCGTAGTCCATTTCGGGGGCGCCCGGGCCACCGGGGGAGGAGTCGCAAGCAAACTAATCCCTTGCTGCGTCGTTGGTTTGCTTCTTGGCAATGCATCCTGCCCGAGGGCCAACGCTGCGATCCATTACTATGCTGTTGGGGCGTTCCTTGCGTCGACGGGCCCGACAACGCGTGCCCGACATGGCGGCGGCACCGCCCCAATCGCCCCTATCGTCGCTATCGGGCGTCGCTTTCCCGAGCGGCTTCCCGCTTGAACCGCGAACTAGCTAAAAACCGATGCGCTTCGATAGTTTGTACTTGACTTCGACGCTCTGTCGACACACGCAAAAGCGCCGTCAACGGAGCCCACGACTGAAATACATGAAAAAGCAATGGTTTTTTCAATGGTTCAGGCGGGTCAAACGGGAACAACTCAAGGACAACTGCACCAAACGCGCCACGGCGACTTGCAAGCGGCAGGGAGGGATGGCGGAGACGAGGCGGAGGGTTTTCCCAATCGAGTCTGCAAACCTAGCGAATCATCCCGAGCACGCCCTGCCCCCGCGCGCGTCGCGCGCACCCTGCAGGCGCAAGCAGAGACACTGACAACTAGGTGGCCTTGCTACCGCGTGCCGGACAGCCAGCACAGCAGCGACCGCGCAAGATATCCCGAGCAAGTCCTGACCCCGAGCGCATCGCGCACACTCTGCAGGCGCAAGCAAGGCGACAAGCGCAAAAAATGATGCGTCTCGTGGCCGCGAGCTTGACGGCCAGGCAACGGGACCCCCAGCGCGCCCGGGCCGAGACTCAGGTCACGCGCCGCCGTGAGCCGCAACGGAGACGGCCGCGTCGCCCTCATTCCAGCGGCCTGCCACGGGCGGCACCTCCACACCAGGCAGCTCGCCGCCTGGCTCGCGGCCGTGCTACTCCTAATGTGCGATTGGCTGCCCACCGCCCTCGGGCGGGCCGCTGGCCGCCGCAGCATCGGGCAGCCCACCGCCTGGCTCGCGGCCGCGCTGCTCCTCCGGCGCGCAAGGCTGCCCGCCGCCCTCGCGCGCGCCGCTGGCCGCCGCAGCCGCATCCGTATCCAGCAGCTTCTCCACCTCCTGGATCAAGTGGCACACCTTCGTCCTTTTCTGGGCCGCCTCAGCGTCGTCCCCATCGCGCGGGCGGCTGCGTTTCGATACCGCCGCGAACGCCTTGATTGTCTCGCCGTCCACTGCCTTCAAGGCGGCGCGGACATTGCGCGTCTTCCAGACGTGGTCGGCCACCGCATCGAACACCCGCGCGATGTCAGACATGGAGGACATTGCCACGTACATGCCGTCGAACACCAGGCTCAAGACGCACGCGTGCAACTCCCTGGCAGCAGCCGCCATGCCCCCGAGGATATTGTCCTCCATCGTCTGCAGACACAGCGCCAGCGCCGACGACCCCGGATGCTCCTTCAACAACACCTTCTCCATGGATGCAACCTCGCGGTTCCTGGGCCCCCCCGCGCCACCGGTGGCCCGCGCCGCCGCGGCTGGGCTCGCCGCGGCCAAGCAGCGAGCCCCGAAGCCGCGCGCGGTCGGGCAGGCCAGCGGCGACGGCGAATTCCAGAAACTCGCCTTCTTGTACTCTTCACACTCAGACGCGAGGATCCCCTGGCCACGCCTGAAAGCGCTCCTCAACTCCATCAGGCACGGCAGTACGTCGTCGGGGCGATCGCTCTCTCAGGATGCATCGGGCTGAATGCTGCCCTTGAACGGCAGCCGCGAGAAAACCCCCTTGGCCTCGGACACGTCGATGTTAAAATACTGGGCAACGGCGGCGCGACACTCTCTGGACTTATCCGCGTACATCTTCACGATCCCGAGGTCGCGCTCAAATGCGCCATCTGGAACGTGCGGGCGCAGCGCCTCCAGGAATATCTGGTAGAACGCCGCAATTATGTCGAACTCGCACACCGCCCAGAGGCCCTCGAACGCAACGACTCGCGCCTCCCTGGCGCAAGACTGAAGCCCTGGCCCCGACTCGCACGCGCGGCCGACGTCGTTGATATGGTAGTACTCGCGGCGAAGGACGCGGATGTCTGGGCACTCTGACACGGAAGTCGGGCGGGCGACGCCGTCCTTGAAGGCGCAAGCCATGCCCGCCTGGTCCAGGAGATCCACGTGCGCGGATAGCCACTCCTGGCGACGCTCGCCCGCGGCGGCAGCCCCGGCGTCGCGCCGGGCCCGCAACGCGGTCAAGTTGGCTACCTCGCAGACGGTGTAGCGGCAGCGTCGGCTCGGCACTTCGGCTTCGGCGGGCTGGGCGAGCTCGTCCTGGGCGGCGGCGCAGGCGTCGAAGGACACGCTGCGCGCGCACTCCGAGGGATCGCCGAACGCGGCAGCGCCCGCGAACATCTGGTTGCACAGCGACGCATCGAAGGGGAGCACGGCCACGCACGCCTGCATTCTCTGCCCGCGTGATTTCGCGGCCCCGATCTGGACGAGATTGGCGCCGAGACGACCTGACGCGCGGACGCGGCTCAGGAGGGTAGCCCACCGCTTCGTCTCGGGGACGGCCAGCGGCAGTTCGCACTTGGTCTGCCCCACCTGCACTGCAGGAGGGCGCGGGACCTGGGCGCGTAGAGGCGGGCGTGGACGTCCCGGGCGAGTGCGAATGACTCCGCGTGCACCCCGCCCTCGTGGGCGCCGTCGCCGTCCAACCTGCTCCACTCGGCCACCCACGCCTCGAGCCAGTGCGCCGCGGTCATCGCCCCTGTCGCTGCCAGCTCGCGCAGCGAAGGGCCCCCGCTCCAAGACGTGGACGACCTGGTCGTGAGGAAGTTGAGCAGGTGGCCGATCGCGAACTCGGGCCTGCCAATCTCTGCCCCGAGCCCGCGGCCCTCGAGGAAAGACCGCGGGGACGTAGGAGCGTCGAAAGAGTCGCGAAACTTGTTTGGGATGCACATCGGCAGCAAGCGGTCGCGCTCCGAGCCCTTCGGGGCCTGCCCCCACCACGGGACGTCGTTGCACGCGAAAATGCACATGCACATGGGCTTCATCTTCTCCGTATCGCCCGAGTTGCACGCGCGGACGGCAATGGGGTCGGTCGAGTTCCGGCACTTGAAGACAGCGTTGCTCCAAGCCGAGGAATGGACCTCGCTGCCGAAGGCAACTCGGGCCCCGCGACGAAAGGCGCCCGCCGCGTTGTGCTCGTGCTCGGAGCGCTTGTCCGCAGTGAAGACTGCGGCTCGGACAGGAACGCAGTACTCCCCCCAGACGGCCTGGAATATCTTTTTGCAGATGCCCTTGCCATTGCGGCCCCACCTAGACCACAGCAGCGCGCATTTGCAGAGCGGCGCGCCTTCGAGGGGCCGCGCCTGCAGGTGCATCATGCGCGGGAAATTCTCGGCGCCCGCGCCCCCGAGCTCCTCGGCGCCATCGTCGGGGCGACGGTCGCCCTCGCGCTTGTACAGCGACCGCAAGATAGACCATGACCTCTGGCGGTCGTCGGCCGACTCCGACTCTACGAGATCGGAGTTCTGCAGCCACCTATCGCCGAACATGACTATCCTGTATCCATGCCCTGAAACACGCGTTGGCCCTCTGCGCTTCACACCGTGATTCCCCGTTTGAACCGCCTGAACCAATGAAAAACCTACATGTGTGTACACATTTCTACATCGGGCGGCGGCGCCGACGACGTCCGCGGGAGCGCCGACAAGGGCGCCGATTCATGAAAATATATAAAAACCTTTAGTTGTTCAATGGTCTGGGCGGTTTAAACGGGGAAAGCGTTGCGTTTTGTTGACACCCTCAACCCATCCGCGCATCGCGCACACCCCAATGCACGGCTGACCGCCTCTGGGGCACGCGAATCGGGCTGCGCGGGCAAGTCGCGTCCGCCGGGCGGCCTGGACGGATCGTGTTCGAGCGGAGGTCCACCACGCAACTGCTGAGCTGAAAGAGGAGCGGGTCCTTGTCGAACGTGGCCTCCCCGTCGAACAGCATGGCAGATTCCCGGATGATCTTCTCCACGCCCTGCTGCCACTCCAGCGCCGCCGCGGTCTTGTCCAGAAGCTGTTGCTCGGGGTGGGGGTTGCCATCCTCGCCCTCCCCGAAGCATTTCTCTGCGCGACAGCGCCCGGCAACCTCCTGGAACACGGGAAGGAACCTCGCCTGGAAGATAGCTTTGACTCTCGTCAGCGATAGCTTGACAACGCGCCACGTCTGATCCCACACCCACCAGTCGCCATCGCGACTGCAGTACATGATCGGGCACTGGTCCCCTTGAAAGAACAAGTACGCGAGCTGCGCCTGCAACAACTGCGACAAATTGTGGTGGTCAGGCAGCTCCGTGTAATAGACGCACAGGAGGCTGGTCTTCGGGGCGTTCGCACGCCGGGCAAGGAACTCGTCAAGGCGGCCAGTCAAGGACGCATTCGTCGTTCGGGCTGCGGCCGCCACCATGCGACTCCACTCGGCCCGCGGCGGCTCGGGCGGCAGCATCTGCGACATGGCGGTGGCCTGGCAGGAGAAACTCAATATTATGCCACCTGGAGTTCAGGTTTTCGGGTATTCGGGTATTCGCGTATTCGGGTATTGGGGTCTTCGGGTTTTCGGGTATTCGGGTATTCGGGTATTCGGGTCTTCGGGTCTTCGGGTCTTCGGGTCTTCGGGTCTTCGGGTCTTCGGGTCTTCGGGTCTTCGGGTCTTCGGGTCTTCGGGTCTTCGGGTCTTCGGGTCTTCGGGGTCTTCGGGTGTTCGGGTGTTCGGGTCTTCGGTTATTCGGGTATTCGGGTATTCGGGTATTCGGGTATTCGAGTATTCGGGTATTCAGCCCCCCCCCCCCCCACCCCCCAATACCCGAAAACCTGAATACCCGAATACCGCGGCTGGGGTATTCGAGTATTCGGGTATTGGGGTATTCGGGTATTCGGGTATTCGGGTCTTCGGTCTTCGGGTCTTCGGTCTTCTTCGGGTTTCGGTATTTCGGGTATTCGGATTTGGGTCTTCGGGTCTTCGGGTCTTCGGGTCTTCGGGTAGTCGGGGATAGGGGTATTGGGGGGGCGGGGGCTGAATACCCGAATACCCGCATACCCGAATACCCTAATACTCGAGTACCCGAATACCCGAATACCCTAATACTCGAGTACCCGAATACCCGAAGACCCGAAGACCCGAAGACCCGAAGACCCGAATACCCGAAGACCCCAATACCCGAAGACCCGAAGACCCGAAGACCCGAATATCTGAATACCCCAATACCCGAATACCCGGATACCCGAATACCCGAAGACCCGAAGACCCGAGTACCTGAATACCCGACCACCCGAATACCCGAAAACCCGAATACCCGAATACCCTAATACCCGAATGCCCGAATACCCGAATACCCGAATACCCGAATACCCGAATACCCGAACACCCGAAGACCCGAATACCCGAAGACCCGAAGACCCGAATACCCGAATACCCGAATACCCGAAGACCTGAATACCCGAATACCCGAATACCCGCATACCTGAAGCCCCGAAGGCCCGAATACCCAAGGCACAGAAGCGTTCGGACCTCGGGGCTGGAGCGAGGGCGATTGCCACGCCTGACCGTGGGCGGAACAGCCCGCCGCGCGCGCGAGGATCTCTCGAGCCCTGAATCGCTGCGGCGCGGCCCAGGCAGACAACGGCGCTGCCCTCGACCCGCCCCCCGCCCTGCCCTACGCCACGGGGGCGGGGAAGTTGCCTCGCAATCGATCGACTGATAGCCGCGGGGCAGTCTGGCCGCAGCCCGAGCACGCGCGGGCGCTCGTAGCCAAAGAACGCGGAGATATTCGTTGATCCCCTCCCACGCGATCCCCTGGCACTCGGGCGCCGACAGCTCCTCGCGCACCTGGCGCTTCACCTGCGGGAGTGCGCAAGCGAAGCCAATGAACATTACCCCCTGCCCCGCCCACCCTGCCCCTTCCGACGCCCGACCCAAGTGGGCCCCCGTCGCCATCTGCGCCGTCGACGACAGCGGCGCCACGAGGCAGTCGACGAGGACAGATCCGTTGTTCGCGCTGGAGATCTTCAGGAAAGCCCCATCGCCCTCGACGCCCGCGAGAACCAGCTCGACGTCCACGGCAATCGGGTCGACGCACCCCGCGAGCACGCGCGGCGCGCGGCAGTCCACTGGCAGCCGCGTCGCAACCCCTGGGGCGGGCGGCGGAGCAGCGCTGAAACGCCAGAACATTTTGTAGAACCGGGCCCCAGGGTGATCCAGATCTCGCCCTCGCCCCCTGCGACGCGCATAGCCTGCTTCTTGCCGAGGAGGCGCCGCGCCGCAGCGCGGACAGCGGCGCCACCCCCGCGGTCGACAAATGCGAACTCCACTGGGCAGGCCGCCGCCATCGAGGTAGAGCCCGCGCGCGATGGCGGCACTGGTCGGCCCGAGCACTTGAGCCGCGACGCCTGCTGAGGCGGCGATATGATTGCGGCGCGCCCGATCGCGGGTGCCCCGCGCAATGAAACTCGCATTTTCACACCGCGGCCCCCCGTTTGAATCGCCCGAAACCATGGGGGGCCCATATGTTTGCGCACATTCCCATGTCGGGCGGTCGCCCGACGACGTCCGCGGGAGCGCCGACAAGGGCGCAGATTTATGGGCAACGACGTCCGCGGTTCAAACGGGGAAAACGCTGCGTGTCTCGACCCCAGCCCAATCGCGCATCAGACGCTCCGCAGCACTAGCTAGCCACCCCAACAGCCAGCTCTGGAGCCCGTGCGTTGTCGCGCTAACCGCTGACGCCCCCTCGCTGCATCTATCGCGGCTGGCTCAGCGTCTCCTCGATGCGCCGCATGATGGCTGCGCTGTCCTTCCTGGCCTTGGTCGTCGCCTTCTTCGCGCGCTTGAGCGGCAAGTTCGCCCCGCTGGAGACCTGGGCCTTGCCCCGCACGCGGCCCGCGAGCTTGATCGCCCCGCGGCCGGGGCGCCTGTGCAGGTCCATGTTCAGCTGCCTCTGCCGCGCCTCGCGGCGCGCGGTCGCGCGGGCTGCCCGCCCCTCAGCCGCCGCCGCTGACGCGCGCGCCCGAGGCGCGCACAGCCGCGCCCGATCCACCCTCTGGTCTGCCACAGCCGCCTCGTCGTCGGAAGCCGCCGCCTCGTCGTCGACCGCCGCGCCCGCCGCGGCGACGCCCTGCCCGAGCGCGCCTGCGACGACGAGCCCAGAGAGAATGTAGATGGCCCGCCTGTCGGTCAGCTTCTGGAGCGAGGCATCCCCGAGGTTCTTGTAGGCGTTGGCGAGCATGCGGCACGGCCCGCGCACCTCCTGCGCGACCTCCAGCCGCTCGAGGCGCCGCTGGTACACGCACTGGGCCCAGCGCTTCAGGAGCCGATGTTCGGCCTCGAAGGCAAGGGCGCCATTCGCGACGTGAAGGCCCCCCGCCATGGCCCTGATCAGCGAGTTGTTCACGAGGTGCCCGAAGTGGCCGCGCCGCGCCCCGCACTGGATCACGCGGAGCGCCGCAATCCCCTCGAGGTTCTGCTTCGCCATCTCGTCCGGGCACGTCGCCGCGATCCGCTTGAGCTCTGCGACGTACTCGGCGCGGGCCTGGAAAGGCTGCCCCATGAAATCGCCCCCCTCGCTGCCGCCCCTTGGCCCAGCTGCCCCCACTTCGCCCCGGGTGCCCGCGCCGCCGTTGCTGCCGCGGCACAGGTCGTCGGCCGTCGGCGCCCCCGGCGCCGCGATCAGGAACTTCTTCTGGATCGCCATGATAGCGCGAGAGCAAGAATTTCGCTTCTTCCCAAAGCAATGCCCCACGCGGAACACCAGGTGCATGGCGCCCTCGGCGCGCGCGAGGCCGTTGGGCAGCGCCCCCAGGAAGCCCTCGCCGGGCGAGTCGGCGAACAGGAAGCGCACCTGGCCGATCATCTCGTCCGCGAAGCGGTCGCGGAGGGCCGCCGTGAAAGGCTCGATCCCCTCCTTCGGCTGGAGGCTGGAGCCTGGGCAGGCGCCCGCGACGCCAATGAACGCGCGAGCAGCGTGGCGCTCGCCATCGCGCTGCGCCACGCGCGTCTGCCCGGCAACGGAGAAGGTGATCTTGAACGCGGCGTCGCGCGCTATCGCCGCCCATTCGCCCCGCTCTGTCGCGGCAGCTCTGAGGCGGCGGAGCGCGCTCTGGGCGACGCCGTCCGGGCTCCTGGAAACACTAATCACGCACTCCTTCACAGCGACCTGCATCGTCGGGCACAGCAGCGGCGCGCCCTCTGCGCCCTCGGCCCACCTGGCCAACATCTCGTCCACGATGGCGCCGACGTGGCCCCTGCATCGGAGCGCCAGGCCAATGACGGCGTCTTCGAAGTCGCGGGAGTAGTAGACCTTCTCGTTCGCACGGGCCACGTCGGCCGCCCTGCGCTTCAACCAGTACTCGGGGCCAGAGCGCGCCAGGGCCGTGACGACGGGCACCCGGCCCTTGCGTTCCAGCACCTCCAACTCGGCGGGAGGGCGTCTCGGCCCCAGACCCGAATCATGGAAGCGCTCTTCTCAAGGGGGTCATCGGCGGCGCCGCCTGGCCCGCATATGCTCTGGGCCATGCGATGCCGGTGCAATGCCTTCGCGACGTTGAGCTGCGGGCAAGTCTTGGCGCGGAGGCCGCGCGCCGCCGCCGCGAAGAAGGGGGCCGCGTGGCATTTCAGGCGCTCGACCAGCTGCGCCCCGCGCTAAAAGGATCGAGGCGGGCGCAACTTGCACGTCTGCTCGACGACGTCGCCAGCGCCGTCGGCCGCCCGGGGACTGAGGGCGCCATTGCACTTGCCCGCTTCGGCGGCCAGCGGCGCCGCGAAGGGCCCGACGGCGCCCGCGCCGACGTCCGCCACGCGCGGGGCCGACCACGGCGGCTCCGCCAGGGCCTCGAGCAAGCGAGCTGCGCAAGACGCGAGGACGGCGATTCGGGCAGAACTGCGAGAGACAAAACTGAAACATCAGAAGTTGGGTACGCGGGAGGAAACGACGACGACTCCCTTGTTTTGCAACTTCAACTTGAGCCAAACGCGCCAGGGTAGCTTGAGCCACGAGTGCGGCGAGGAGAAAGGTAAACATGTATTTGCTTATTGTCATCGGGCCGCTTGCAAATGCCGCTGCGCGCGTTTGCCGCCCCCGCCCCGCCCCGCCCTCCGCCTTCCCCGAGCGTCGCCGTTTTCCTGCCGCGAGCGCCCTTTCGCCCCGGCTCCTAGGTTGCCTGCTGGTGCGCCAGAACCACGCCGACCGCTTGGAAGGCGTCGGGCGGCTTCGGCCTCAGGCGCAAGCCCGAGTGCCCGTCGGGGAGAGAGAGCAGCCTGCCCCGGCGCCTGAGCTGCGCTCTCATCGCCTTGCCGCCAGTAGTCCTGAGGCGGCCCTTCTCGTTGTCAGCCCTGTTCCCCCACCGCCTGAGTTCGCAGCAGAGGCCCCCCAGGTGTGAGATTGTGAAATCTCCCACCCACAAGCTCGGGTCAACCAGCCTCGGCTTCACCTGCGGGGGCAAGGCTCGGAGGCGCTTCGAGTCGTCGGCGTCGCGCGCGGCGCAGCGGCGGAGGACCGCCTCTGCGCCCCCCCCCCCACAAAGTCGTTCTCCGCCTTCGGCCGGACGACGGCCAAGTCGCGAGACATCAGCATCCAGTGCCACTCGGCGTGCACGTGGCGTCTTCCCGAGCACGTCGCAGAGCGGCTGCCCCCTCTCCAGCTGCCGCGCCGCCGTCGCGAAGCGGCTCTTCCGCAGAAGCTCGGCGATGTACTTCGCCATCACCTGCTTCTGCTCGCGCGACCCTCTGCGGCCCGCCTGGCGCGCGTGCTCCGCGTTCCAAGAGGTCCTCCGGCACCCCGCGTAGGCCAGATTGATGGTGGCGTCGTTAACCACCGAGGCGGAAGCACTCTCGTCGAAGCACCTGCCCCCCCCAAAGGCTTGCCCAGAGCGTTCCTCGTAAGTCGCCAGTGCTTTCTCCAGCAAGCCCTCCCCGTTGAACCAGACCCTCGTCAGCAGGATTCTCAGGGGCACCGAAGCAAGGGGCACCTTTTTTCTGGTGTTGTGGAGCAGCGCGCGGAGCTCAAGGTCGGTGGCATTGAGTTCGCGCGACGCCTCGCCGCCACGGTGCGTCAGCCACTCGGGGTGCACGAGGAAGGACGAGACCAAGGGGTTCGGCACCAACTTCGCGAAGAGCTTCTCAGCCACGCTGCGCCCACGCAGCTTTTCGACGGTGCTTACAGCCCTGGCGTTCGCAAAAGCGACCAAGTTGTCTACCTCGTCGTCACGTGCGCGGGCGCCGCGCCGGCGCCCTCCGACCTGGCGTTCGGCTGCGCCTTCCCTCCGTTCGCCGCCATGATGCCGACAGAGGGGCAAACCATCTGGCCGTACACAGTGGCTGGGAAAGGCAACCACGTCGCCGACATACCCAAATACCTGGAGCCAAATCGGCTACGGAAGATGAGGCACAAAGGATAACAGGGAAGTGAATGAACAAGATGACAGGAATTGCAGGAAATAATCAGAAACATACGAATCATAAGAAGAGGACGCGGCAAGAAAAGGGGGGTTAGGAGTGGAGGTGGAAGAGCAACATGAGGAGGAAAAGAAAGAGTGCCAATGAGGACCGAGGTGAATCGAGTAAACCGGCGATGATGATGATGATGATGATGATGATGATGATGATGCTGCTGATGACCACGATGATGATGATGCGAGCTGGTCGGAAGCAGAACTAACACGAACCAAAAAGTAGCAAAACTACCCATCACATCGTCGCGGACATAAGCATCGGGCGGCAAGCGAGTCAATCAAATCGAATGCAAGTCATGCGGAAAAGGAGGAACCAACAAAATGGTAATGGATCCGAAACATCACGGGGAGGAGTCCCGCGCACGCATGAGCCGACAAGCCTCCGGAACCCCCGAACCCCACTGGGAATCGAGCCCGGGACCTCTGGGGCCCCACGTCAGAAGCGCTTGCACGCTACCTCTGAGCCGAGGAGGCCGGCGAAAGACAAACGGTTCCAAATGGCCCGAAACGACTTAGAGGGGTACGAAGCGGCTCGAATCCTTTCGCTTTTGGTTTTGGTACTTTTTCCAAACGAACTCCCCTGGGGGTTTCGGCCCCGCCCGCCAGGGTCCCCGAATGGCCCAGAAAGGACGGTTCCAAAATATTATCCTGCTCCACATGGCTCCAAGATGGCTTCCAACATGGCCAAGATGACCCAAGATAACCTCCAGGTTCGCCCAAGATGGCCGAAGATGGTTTCCAAGACGGCCCAAGAGAGCCCAAGATACCTTCAAGTACGCCCAAGAAGCCCCCAAGAGGTCTGCCAGACGGCCCACGAGGCCTCCAAGAGGTCCTCCAGGAGGGCCCGAAGAGGCCAAATGTACGGATGTCCCATAATATGTTCCTCACATCCAAACTAGGGTTCCGGCTTTGCACACGCCGCGCAGGATCTCACCCCAATTTTTCCTCACTCACACATTCACACAGTCACACCATCATCATCATCATCATCATCATCAGCATCATCATCATCATCATCATCATCATCATCATTGTCACCATCATCATCACCATCATCACCATCATGAATCAGCATCACCACTCATCATCATCATCCCCATAATCGTCACCTTCATTATCACTCGATCACTCACTCATTCACTCACTCATTCACTCATCATCATCATCAGCATCATCATCATCATCATCCTCACTCACTCACTACCTCACTCACTCACTCACTCACCAACCTCACTCACTCACTCACTCACTCACTCACACATTCACTCACTCACTCACTCATCATCACCACTCACCCATTCATCATTTCGTCAGCTTGAATATGGATGAAGTCTCAAGCGCGAGTTTCGTCTGTAAGTGCATCGCGACGACGTCTCAGGCGGGAGCCCCCTCCCTATGTGTCCCGTATTTCACGTTGGCAATCCGAGCGGGTCATCCGAAACGTGTAACTGTGGTCACTTTGGGGTTCCTCATGCCTGCATTTGGGGAAGCATCAGGCGGGAGCTTCGTCTGTGAGTAAATTGAAGTCTCAGGCGGGAATTCCCCCCCTTGGGGCCCGCGGATCATGTTGGAAACCCGAGCGGGTCATCGGATTCCTGAAACTGTCGTCACTTTTGGGTTCTTCTGGCTTGAATATGGGAAAAGTCTTAGGCGGGGGCCATGTCTGCGAATGAATTGCGAAGGAGCCTCCGGTGGGAGCCCTCTCCCTATGGGTGCCGCTGCTCATGTTGGTAACCGAGCGGGTCATCCGAAACGTGTAACTGTCGTCACTTTTGGGCTCCTCAGGCCTGAATTTGGGGGAAGTATCAAACAGAAGCCTCGTCTGTGAGTGAAGTATGAGGACGTCTCAAACGGGAACCCCCTTCCTATGGGGCCCACGGATCACGTTGGCAATCTGCACGGGTCATCCGAAACATGTAACTGTCGTCATTTTTGGGCTCCTCGGGCCTGAACTTGAAAGAAATATCAGGCGACAGCCTCGTTTGCAAGTGAATTGTAAGGAAGTGTCAGGCTGGAGCCCCCTTCCTTGTTGGTGATCGGAACGGGCCATCCGAAACATATAACTGTCGTCACTTTTGGGCTCCTCAGGCCTGAATCTGGAGGTGGTATCAAGCGGGAGCCTCGTCTGCGAGTGAATTGTAAGGAAGTGTCAGGCGGGAGCCCCCTCCCTATGTGTCCCGCATTTCACGTTGGTAATCCGAGCGGGTCATCCGAAACCTGTAACTGTCGTCATTTGTGGGCCCCTCAAACCTGGATTTGGCGGAAGTGTCAAGCGGGAGCATCGTCCGTGAGTTAATTAATCGCGAGGGAGTCTCAGGCGGGAGCCCCCTCCCTACGGGCCCCGCACTTCACGTTCGTAATCCGAGCGGGTCATCCGAAACGTGTAACTGTCGTCACTTTTAGGCCAGAACTTAAGCCCCCAGCGGCCTGCGCACCGACTCTCCGCCATGACAGGTCCCGCATTTCATGTTGGTAATCCGAGCGGGTCATCGGATTCCTATGACTTTCGTCACTTTTTGGGTTTCTCAGCTCCTGCGGCGTGAATACGGGGGAAGGGCTCCTCAACTCCTGCGGCCAGTAAGCGGGGGAAGTATCAGGCGGGAGCTTCGTCTGTGAGCGAAGTGCGGGTAGCCTCGTCTGAGCTGGTCGTCGGCAAATTTGTTGTTGTCATGGGCCTGCGTGCCCGAAAGGGCGACTGGGGAGCTGACGACGACGACGACCACGACGAGACAGCGGCCGGGCGCAGGGGTAATTAGCCCCTTGTGTCTGGGCCAGGGGTGGTAACCATCCTCGGCCGAATCGGGGGCAGGGGTAACCCCTTGTCTCCGGGCCGCCAGTGGTAACCCATCGGCGGCCGAATCGGGCGCAGGGGTAACCCCTTGCGTCCAGGCTGGGGGTGGTAACCCATCCTCGGCCGAATCGGTGAGTAGGTGAGGGCAGAACGGCGGGCGAGAGGAAAGTGTCCGTCAGGGCGAGGAGGGAAAAGGGTAAGGGCAAGCAAAAAAGATTCTCATGTGGGGTCCTTCCGTCGGGGTAATTGAAGGATTTGGGCGCTTGCTTCTTCTCGGCATTCCGACATCTCAAAACGGCCCAAGAGGCCCCGAAGATCGCCCCAAGAGCAACCACGAGGCCTCCAAAATGGCCCCATGACGGCCCAAGAGGCTCCCAAAAGGGCCCCAAGAGGGCCCCAAGAGGCCTCCAAGACGGCCAAGATGGCCTCCAAGATGGCTCAGATGGCCCAAAGATGCCTCCCAGACTGCCCAAGACGCACCAAAAAATGACAAAGATTATCCCGGCAAAGCAACCTAACAACGATGTGTATAAGCATATCTGTCAGCCTCAGCCTGCCTCAGCCTCAGCCTCAGCCTGCCTCAGCCTCAGCCTGCATCAGCCTCAGCCTCAGCCTGCCTCAGCCGCAGCTTGCCTCAACCTCAGCCACAGCCTCAGCCTCAGCCTCAGCCTGCCTCAGCTTCAGCCTCAGCCTCAGCCTGCCTCGGCTTGCCTCAGCCTCAGCCTCAGCCTGCCTCGGCCTCAGCCTCAGCCTCAGCCTCAGCCTCAGCCTCAGCCTCAGCCTGCCTCAGCCTCAGCGTCAGCCTCTCAGCCTCAGCCTGCATCAGCTTCAGCCTCAGCCTCAGCGTGCCTCAGCTCTCAGCCTGCCTCAGCCTCAGCCTGCTTCAGCCTCGGCCTTGGCCTGCCTCGGCCTCAGCCTGCATCAGCCGCAGCTCGCCTCAGCCTCAGCCACAGCCTCAGCCTCAGCTCTCAGCCTGCCTCAGCCTCAGCCTCAGCCTCAGCCTGCCTCAGCCTCAGTCTCAGCCTGCCTCGGCCTCAGCCTCAGCCTCAGCCTGCCTCAGCGTCAGCCTCTCAGCCTCTCAGCCTCAGCCTGCATCAGCCTCAGCCTCAGCCTCAGCCTGCCTCAGCCTCAGTCTCAGCCTGCCTCAGCCTCAGCCTGCCTCAGCCTCAGCCTCAGCCTGCCTCGGCCTCAGCCTGCCTCGGCCTCAGCCTCAGCCTCAGCCTCAGCGTCAGATTGCCTCAGCCTCAGCCTGCCTCAGCCTCAGCCTCAGCCTCAGCCTCAGCCTCGGTGTGCCTCAGCCTCAGCCTCAGCCTGCCTCGGCCTCAGCCCGCCTCGGCCTCAGCCTGCCTCAGCTCGGGCATTCAAAATATAGCACAGGACTGGTGTTCTGGAAACACGAAGATCACGAAGTGGCCCACAATAGGCTCCAGGCAATCAAAATATGGTACAGGAATGGTGTTCTGGGAACACGAAGAACACGAAGTGAACACGAAGATCACGAAGTGGCCCACAGTTGGCTCCGGGCATTCAAAATATGGTACAGGAATGGTGTTCCGGGAACACGAAGAACACGAAGTGGCCTACAGTTGGCTCCGGGCATTCAAAATGTGGCCTGGGAATGGTGTTCTGGGAACACGAAGAACACGAAGTGGCCTACAGTTGGCTCCGGGCATTCAAAATGTGGCCTGGGAATGGTGTTCTGGGAACACGAAAAACACGAAGTGGCCTACAGTTGGCTCCGGGCATTCAAAATGTGGCCTGGGAATGGTGTTCTGGGAACACGAAGAACACGAAGTGGCCTACAGTTGGCTCCGGGCAATCAAAATATGGTACAGGAATGGTGTTCTGGGAACACGAAGAACACGAAGTGGCCTACAGTTGGCTCTGGGCACTCAAAATGTGGGCTGGGAATGGTGCTCTGGGAATGGATGCCTAAGGATTCCTAAGAATTCTTAAGGATTCGTAAAGATTCCTGGGGCTGCCGGATCCTGCCGGA